CCATCTTGAAGTGTGGTGCTCTGGTCCAGCACCTTGAAGTAGGCACAGCAGCAGCACTGTCAGACATCCCATTTATTAATTTTTGCTTTCCTGTATGCTGACTCAGTCCCTTGCTTTTGCCAAGATACTGAACATAACTTCAGAAATGACTTTTTTTAGCCATTTGTTTGACAACAGTTTTGTATACCTGTTTAGTGCAGTGCTTTTCCAAGGGCTTCCTGACTTGCCTCACCACAGAGAGGGAAGCAATTCAGGACCTCAGTGCATCTCCAAGCTGCTAAACAAGGAATTATGTAATACTGCTATAAATAGCAATGGTTATAATGCTAGGTTTCCATATCTGCAGCATTTAATAGGAAGATACCACCCAGTTCACATATTCCTGATCAGTGGAGGGAATGGTATTGAGTCTGCTGCTACGTGTAGTTTAAGAGAGCATTATATAGCACTTCCTCATCCTCAAAACACTTTACAACACTCAGCAGTAGTATTATTCAGACTAGAAAGTGAAGATTAGGTACACTGTCAAGAGAGTACTTAAAGCTGGTCAACAAGTCAGTAGACAAGATATGACCTCAGGCCTTTCCTAGTTTAGTGTGGTGCTCAATACACTGACTAGGCTGCTTTTGCAGTTTCTGAAAAATCAAGTTTTCAGTGAACTATGCTTCAGGTAAAATTATCTCCTTTGGTATTAAGGATACATAACATTCCAGGTGTTTAAAATGCTGTTTGTTTAATCCATTCTCTCTCCTGCAAGCATCTGTGCAGACACAGGGGAAAAAGTAGAGTCACTATTCCTGTCCAAATCTACTTCTGTTAAACCTAGCTTTGACATGCCCTTATATATAGTGTCCTGCTTCCTATTTGGACTTCCTGTCCTCAGTTGTATTTGTACAATCTTCCAAGATATTGGGTCACAGTTTTCTGAAGTGGTCCTACAAGTATAGCCTCCAACTGCAGCTACTTAGATATCTTGCTTTTCAATGCCATTCTTCCAGTTTCATTTGCCTTAAAGTTATTCTATTTTATATCCACATCTGCCAAATAAACTAAATCCAAATTTAAACGAACACTAAAACCACAACCCACCTTTTCCATACCTCCAACATTGATGTCTGTATCTCTGATGTTCCTATTTTTAGCTCGCAACTAAGAATCTAAGACAGCCCTGAATTTAAGACCATCCCCCAATAATTAGATTCTATACACAGAAAATTATCAGTAAGGTTTGCCATTTAAGGCTGGTAAAGAAACAGGCCATCACTGGAAATCAGAAAGAAAAGCACAGCACAGCTATGACAGTGAAGAGGAAATCAAAATGTATTCAAAGGGATGGCTTATCATGACTTGAAATGGACTTGGCCCCACTGCACTTGGTGGGCACTATCATATACTTTATTCAAATAGGCTCCACTAACCTACCCTTGTGGTGGGTTCCCATCAATTTTTTAGCACCAGGGGAGGGTGCTGGAGTTTGCTAGGACCTTTCCAAGTGCAGGCCTGGTATTGCAGTACCTCCACGCCCAGTGCCTGTTTCCTCCTGGGGGAGCAACTGCCAGTTTAAGGGACACACAAAAAATAGTTTCATAGTAGGGTCGGAAGGGACCTGAGCAGATC